GAAGGAGAGAGGGAGAAGGGGAGGGGGTGAAGAGAACACCTGACTAGGGTAGGGGTAGGAACCTCAAATTTCCCAAGAAGAAAGCAAACTCCCTTGAAAGAGAGAGGAGGGAGGGAGGGGGGAAAGAAGGAAGAGAAAGGGAAGAGGGGGTAGGATTGAGACTCTTCTCTCTTAGCCCGGGCAGCATCTCCAGATACAGTCGGAAAGGGGTTTTGCAGGCCCAGCTGAGCTCCGCATCTGGCCGGGCTCACCTGTTCCTCCTCTGCCTCCCGCTTGGCTCATCATCTCATTCGCGCAGTCTGTGCCGCGTGGACCCAGCTGGCCCCATCTCACCACGTGCGGTCCACGGCTGATAAATGACATCTGCGCCCCGCCGGCCCCACTACCCTCTGAGTGGCCCCAGCACCGCGCGGTGGAACCTTCCCCCATGGAAGAGGACGCGTACCTGGAGCTCTACCTGGACCGGTGCGCCGCCCAGGTGAGCCTGGCCGCCGCGCTGCTGCTGCCTGGACTCCGTGGCTGAGCACCAGGGGCTGATGTGTTCCCCTGGGGGGTCTCTTTGAAACGCCAAAGCCGCCTTAAGAGGCAGGCTCAATTATCCAGGCTGTTCGCTTGGAGATAACATAACAACCAAGGTTTCGAACCACAATTCCGAGCCACGTGATACCGACAGGACGAAACTCACTATAGACCAGGCTGACCTGAAACTCAGAGATCGGCCTGCCTCTGCCTTCTGAGTACTGGGATTACAGGTGTGCACCACCATGCCCAGCAAGAGCTACTTTTTAAACAAGCTTTTCTTTTTCTTTTTTTAAGACAAGGATCAGTGCTATGTCAAAAATAATGATGCGTCATAGCATTTAAGGAATTGAGGGAGCGCCTGGCAGGAAGGAAAGGTTTGAGGAAAGATACCTTAGTGATTTTGCAAGGCTGTTTCCTATTTTCTTCAGCTGTGAGGCGAACACACTACAGGTACTTCCCATTGAGTTCACACTAGTGTGAAATCTGACAGGAACTGGCAAGGGTCCATGGCCATTAAAAGTGCCTGTCACTATATTGCTACTGCTTCAAGTTTCCTGTCAAAGTTTAGTGATCTTCAGTGACAGCTTTGTCCCCTGCTACAATGCCATGCTGGTAGATGGAAAAGAGACCCTGGTCACTGCAGTTGTTAGCGCTTTCTTGTAAATTGTCTGAGACCCTTGCCAGTTAGACAGGAGAGGCCATGGAAACTAGGGTGAGGAGCCAGGGCCCATTGTCCTTACACTTTTCTTAGGGCCACTGGGTAGTTGGGGAGTGGTGGAGACTAACAGTTCAAAATGAAATAGTGGTCAGAATCTTATTTCAAAGGAATAGCTTTATGTTTTCAATATTTTTCTTTGAAAAACTAGCCACCCCTGCCATCTACTGGGTGTGTAATAACAGAACAATCCAGTAGGATCCAACTAGAGTCTGGGCTAACTGAGGTACTTTGTCACCCAGAGGCTACAACATGACATGCTCGAGATCGTTTGGTTGTCAGATGTAAGATGTAAAGGATGGGGTTCTCCTGCAAGTAGGGCTCAAAGTAATAGAAGTTAGGTACAACTTATGTAATGTAATAGGGTTTTGGTTTTTTTTCCAGTAACAGTCCATGAATTTTACATTGGCTACTTTCCTCAGGTCTACTCTAATTCCCTCAGTTGCTGGGTATTGATAATTGAGCAGCTGTCCCTGGGCCGGGAATATAATACTTTGATTTAGGCTGGCAATGGTGGCTCACACCTGTAAACCCAGCGCTCTAGAAGCTGAGGCCATCCAGGACTACAATGAAACCCTGTCTCAAAAAAGACATATACACTTTTTAAATTTAAACTTTTTTTTTTTCTTTTGAGACAGGGACTTCCTGTAGCTCCAGCTGGCTTGGAACTTGCTATGTATAGCAGGCTCGTTGGGCGTGGTAGCACATGCCTTTAATAATCCCAGTACTTGGTAGGCAGAGTCAGGTGAATCTCTGAGATTGAGGCCAGCCTGGTGGTATATATTGTGAGTTCCAGGCCAGATGGGGCTATAGGGAAACCATCTAAAAAAAAAAAAAAAAAAAATTGACTAGACTGGCCTTGATCTCACAGAGATCCACCTCTACCTCTCAAGTGCTGGGATTAAAGGTGTACACCACCATGCCTGGTCAATTTAAACTATTCTCATTTTTTTTTAACTTTTAAAAATTTGTATTATTTTTAGCTGGGTGTGGTGGCGCACGCCTTTGGAGGCAGAGGCAGGCGGATCTCTGTGAGTTCAAGGCCAGCCTGGTCTACATAGTGAATTCCAGGACTTCTGGGCCTACAGGGAGACCTTGTCTCAAAAAGACCAAAAAAAAATTGTATGTGTGTATTGCCTGCTTGTACGTAAGTGCACCTGTGTCGTGCAATGCTCTTGGAGGTCAGAAGAGGCTGTCGGATCCCCTGGGACTAGAGTTACAGACAGTTATTAGCTGCCATGTGGGTGCTGGGATTCAAACCTGAGTCTTCTGCAAGAACAATCAGTGTTCTTAACCACTGAGCCATCTCTCCAGCCCCAATTTAAACTATTTTTAACCTTTAAATATCAATACCTTATTTTTCTATTCTAAATTAACATAATTATTATAATTTTAAAAACTCTTTTCACTAGTTGAGTCTTTTAATGAGTGTTGATTAACAGTTAAGACTATATCTTAGGGACTGGAGAGATGGCTCAGGGGTAAGAGCACTGACTGCTCTTCCAGAGGACCCAGGTTTGAGTTCCAGCACCCACATGGTGGCTAACAACCATCCATAACTCCAGTTCCAGGGGATCCAACACCTTTTTTGACCTCTATGGACATTGAATGGCATGGGTGCACTTACATACATGCAGGAAATATACCCATACAATAAAATATTTAAAAAGATTATTTTAACATTCACATTTACTCGAACATGTGAATGTAAAATTGAAATAGTATTTAAGTCAGCTGAAGCTTGTATTGTAGTAGTGCACATCTATTCTATGTATAACAATTGTGAGCATGACGGAGCCGGACTTAGGGGCAACTTACCCAACTTACCAGGATCTAACTGAAATGGTAGAAATGTGTGATACTAATAACTCAGTAGCAGAATTAGACTGGTATGCTTTGTAGAAGGAGGCAGGGCATCAATAGACACAACCTCAAACCACCTTGTAGACTGAACTTGTTGCTCTCCGGCCACAGTGGAATCCCTTTGGTGTAACACACTGGTTTGCTTTGTTTTGGAAACTGCCTAGGATGACCTTGCTCCAGCTATGTCTCACCTGTTCAGCCCTGTGGTACCTTACGATGTGTACCTATCTAATCAATCCAGTCCGGAGACTGTATTCAATTCCCATCTTAGTGGCATCAAAGAACTATCCAATGACTTTTCATCTGTGGATCTTAGCTTCCTACCAGATGAACTTACTCAAGGAAATAAAGACCAAAATGTCACCAGAAACCAGCATGAAATCGAAGAAAAGTATAAAACTCAAAATCAGCAAAGTAAGTTGGCATCACCTGGCAAACAGGACACTGAGCTGGGCTCAAATGGCAGCAGTTTATCAAATTCTCATTCACATCTGTACCCTGATGGTGCCGACTCTGAAGATTCCTCTCCAGAGAAAACAAACTCAGACACCTTATCTCTGTCATCCATAGCATCTATGACACCAATGAACCCTGTTTCAGAATGTTCTGGAATTGTACCTCAACTACAGTTAAGTATGCTTGTTTTATTGTTGTTGTTTTGGGTTTGTGGCTTTTTTTTTTTTTGAGACAGGGTCTCCCTGTGGCCCCAGCTGGCCTGGAACTCTCTGTGTAGACAAGGCTGACCTCGAACTCACAGAGATCTGCCTGCTTCAGCTTCCCAAGTGCTTGGATTGAAGGCGTGTACCACCACACCAGGTAGTATGCTTGTTTTGAAAATCAGTGATGCTTCTGGGTGTGTAGTTGATATTTCTGAACATGACAACTAATTTCAGGATAATAGTGTAGGGAAGAGAATTTCAAATTGCTTTATTCTTTATTGGTTCTTAAGGGATTATAAATAATCAGTTTGGTTATCCATAAAACAAAGCACCAATTCTTTGTTCCTTAAGAGGAAGTTAAAGAGTAACAGATACGTTCTTGAAGGATTGTGTTTAAACCAAAGCACCAAAGTTGCTGAAAAGTATTGTTATGGTATAATAAACACAAGGGATATAAAACTGAGTCTGATTTTCAAACTCATTTGCAGTTGTGTTTTCTATATTGAGTGGTTTTTTGAATTTTGATTTTAGTTGTGAAATTTTAGAATCTGCTGTTTTAGCACTTTGTGGTTGTACAACTTATTAGGGATCATGTTACTACATAGTTCACATTAAGGATTCTCCAGCTAGTGAAGTTGCTCAGGTAAAACCTATAAATGAAGTCGAGAAGCTGTTAATGAATTAGTTATACCTGTTATAATTCTCTAAGTTGACTTATTTGTTCAGGAACATAGTTTCTACCGTAAATCTGGCCTGTAAATTGGATCTGAAGAAAATAGCTTTGCAAGCCAAAAATGCAGAATATAACCCAAAGGTAAGATTTGTCAGTTTTCTTTTAACCATTAACTTTAGTTGATTTTCTTTTGTACGATTATGACATTGGATTATTTATTTTGCAACTTTTTATATTTTTAGTGAGAAGCTTTGGTAATTCAGAAAGTTAACTATCTCACTTTTCTGTTTTGAAGCTATAAAAACATTCATAATCGGTGCTGAATCAAGCAATAATTGAACAATCCTAAAACTGGATCTTTTCCTTGTCAGTCAGATTTTTCATTATGCCTATTTTCAGCCTCATGGGATGCTAGCTTTCTTGAAATGGCCATCATATCTATGGAAATAACTTTTTTTGAGACAAGGCCTTGCTATGTAGCCCAGGCTGGGCTCAAACTTGGAATCCTCCTGCCTCAGCCTCCCGAGTACTGGGATTCCAGGTGTGAGCCAGCCATGCCTACTTGGAAATACTGTTTTGTAAATATTATATCACAAAACTGACACTTGTGTCCTTTTCCATTTACAGTTTCTTTTATTTGAGAAAGTTAAATTGTTTACCAAAGTTTGAGCTTCTACTTGTGTATGATTCAGGGAGTTGCTCTCCCTAAAGTTTAATAAAATCTATTCTTCCTGTCTTGCCAAGAACAAGCATCCTATTTTCAATGACGTATTTGCTTAAGAGATTTGGATTTGTTATTCCAATCAATATGCAACAATTTGTCAGAGTCAGTGCCTCAAAGAAGGTGGCAGGGTGTGAATATAAACCCTGTATTAGGAACACAAAATGAGTAACACCTGGTTCCTACTGGGAACCCTTTCACTGGCTGCACAGTAGAAGACTGATGGAATAAGATGAAAAAAAGAAAAAAAAAGCCCACAATAGGAGAGACCTTGCATACATCAACTATTTATAGATTATTTGCTTTTGACGTTGTGGTAGTATTTTTGCTGACATCTGAATTTAATGTTATTTGAATGTTACTGAAATACAACATAGTTTTCTCTTTTATATTTCACATCATTGGCAATGATTTGGATAGAAATACAGTAGCGAGCTACAGTTCTTCTGGCTGCAGCAATGATTGATCACATTATTGGAAAAAAAAAAAAAAACATAGTGAGCATATTTTATTCCCCACCATCTTCAGCCCTCCCTTTTGTGGGAAGGTATGTATAGGATCTGTCTGAACTTAACACACAAACTCTGCTTTGGCACTTAAGCTACTAGCTTTAAAAAAAAATTTTTTTTTTCATTACAGCTTTAACACATTCAGTAACACATTCTAGAGCAAGGATACATCTCTTTCAAAGGTGGCTGTAAATTTTTAGGTTCATAGTTGAATTAATACAGTTATGCAATATTGAACTCAGTATAAACCCTATAAGACATAAAATTGAATGAGTTTTTACCCTTTAAAGATGATCTCCATTTGATTTTAAGATATGTCGTTTCCTACATTTTTAATGCTACTAACACATGTTTGCACATGTGTCTTTAATCTCTATGTATATGATTACTAGTCACAGTCTACCTTTAAAATTTTAAATTGTGATAAGAAGGAAAAAATTAGCAAAATTTGTGGTGCACACCTGTTACCCAGCACTCAAGAAGCTTAGGCAGAATTATGAATTTGAGGCTAGCCTGGACTATATAGTGAGGGCCTATATTCTTTACAAAAAGGATTTGAAGGTGGATATGGTGGTACGTGCCTTTAATCCCAGTACTTGGTAGGCAGAGGCAGGTGGATCTCTGTGAGATCAAGGCCAGCCTGGTCTATATAGTGAGCTCCAAGCCAGCTTGGACTACAGGAAGACTGTCTTAAAAAAAAAAAAAAAAACTTTGAGAAAATAAATACCAGGTGAAAGCGATACCTTTTAGTAAGCAGCTGAAAAATATTAATGGAGACTTGATCAACTCTGCAGAGGCGACTTGGGGATCTTTTTGCTATTAACAGTTCAAATTGCAGCTGCTTGTCAGAACTTGAAGTCGCCTATGATCTTTTGGACATAGTCTTTTGGACATAGTCTTTGTGTGTGTGTCTGTATGTCTGGTCTTTTCAAGACAGGGTCTCCCTGTAGCCCCAGCTGGCCTGGAGCTCAGACATCCACCTGCTTCTGCCTCCTTAGTGCTGGGATTAAAGGTGTGCACCACCACAGCCAGCTAGACGTAGTCTTGCATGAATCCACTCCAGTTTCATTCCCAGCTTCATGGGGAGAAGTTTGAGAGTATAGGACCAGTAGGAGGAGCAGGTCATTTAGTGCCATGTCAATGTGATGGCTGGCTGGACTCAAGTCAAGTGTATTAGCACCACCTGGAGGGTTTACTGATGTAGCTGACCCAGGACCACACACTTGATGGAGCATAGTTTCCCTTCATCTTCAGCACGACATGTCATATGTTGTATTCTCTATTTTAGCTGTTGGGGTACATTCTATAGTCTTGCCAATAGCATACATAATACATATGGTTCCTCTTTAGTGATTTTATGTTTGTCTTGAGACAGTGTGAAGCTATGTAGCTCAGGCTGGCCTTAAACATACAGTCCTCTTGCCTCGGCCCCCTAAATGCTGGGATCATAGGCATGTACCACCACATCAGATTCATGTATTTTTTGTTTTGTTGAGACAGGATCTCAGGTATCCCCAACTGGTGTCAAACTTGATATGTAGCCAAGAATGACCCTAAACCTCTGATTCTCCTGCCTCCACCTCCAAAGTGCTGGGATTACAGGTGTGCACCACCAAACCTGGTTTATTCAGTCTTAGGAATGGAGCCCAAGGCTTCATGCATGCAAGACAAACACTCTATCAATTGAGCACACCCTCAGCCCTCCATATGTACTTTTAATCTTGGTTTTGGTTGTGAGCCTGACCCTTCAACAGCTGCACCATCTCTCCAGCTCTTAATCTTACTTTTCAAAGGCTTCTGTAAAAGAAAAAGGAAATATGTCAATGCAAGTCTAATTGTGGTTTTATATCCTATCTTCGCCATTTTCTGTGTGATGTTGGTTGAAGACTTAGTTTCTTGTGTGTTAGAAGGGGCCAACACTAGACTCAAGTTAGTCTTGTTCTGGGTATAAATGAGAGAAAAACTGGAAAGTTCTTAGCACTGGACTTGAAATATAACAGGTATTCTAATTTTAGAATTCAAAACAGCTATATGATAAGTTTATCTTATTTAGAATCATAATTTCTGTTAACGTCTGAATATATTCTCCCCACATTTTTTTCCTATTCAATTTCAGTTTCTTTGAGATTATTTTCACATGCAACCCAACTTTTCAACTTGTCTATTGTTAAATCCAGGCAGAGACTAATTCTTTTGCCTTCTGTGTGCAGAGGTTTGCTGCCGTCATAATGCGAATCCGAGAACCCAGGACAACTGCCCTCATATTTAGCTCTGGGAAAATGGTCTGCACAGGTGCTAAAAGGTATGAGGACATAGTTTCTAGCCCTACCTGACAAACTCATGGTCATGTAAATCAAAGAAGCATAGCATTTATTTGAAACCTCATAACTGTAGCAAAGTATTTTTCTTTGCCAAATAGTTAATGCCACGAAATGCTAAATTTGGGGTTAAAAGTGTTTAATTTTAATAATACTGAGTTATAGGCCACACCTTACAGCCCCTAGTATTAAGTTAAATTTAAGGGAACTTGGGTTCTGTTCTCAGCACCTATATAGCAATCAACAACTGTAACTCCAGTTCCAGGAGATCTGATGCCCTCTTCTGGCCCCAGCAGGCATTGCATAATACAAGTGCACTTACATACATGCAGGCATACATTACACTCATACAAACAAAATAGAAATACTTTTTAAAAGATCAAAGGAACTTAACTGGACTATTAGAATCTGTTTTTAAGAGGCATTAAAAGCTCTAGTCATGGGTCTGGAGAGATGGTTCAATGCTTAAGAACACTGGTCGTTCTTGCAGAAGACCCAGGTTTGAATCCCAGCACCCACATGGCAGCTAACAACTGTCCGTAGCTCCAGTTCCAGGGGCTCCAACAGCCTCTTCTGTCTTCTGAGAGCATTGCACAACACAGGTGCACTTATCTACATGCAGGCACAACACTCATACACATATAATAAAAATAAATATATTTTTTAAAAAAAGCTCTAGTCATGACAAGCTGTCTTAAACCTGAGGACAACATTAGTGTGGATTTTCCTCATTGCAGATAAGTGGGTAGAGCTTTCTAAATGTGACACTTCTGGAGCCTTCACTCAGGAGGCATCTCTGAAAAGACTCTTTCCTGGTTCTCTGCAGAGGAGGCCTTGAGCTGATGTGTGCTCTTTGTTCTCCCTGTAAATGTTGGAAGTTGAGAATGCTCTTCTGAAAGGTGGCTCCAATTTCTCATTTACAGAGGCACCAAGCTTTCCTTTCCTCCTATGAACACTGGCTGTGGATATTCTTATTTACATTTTCTAAATGGATTGGCAAAAACTTATTGTTTTAATTTACATTCTCTTGATTTATTAGTGAGAGTAAACATCTTTCATAAGCATGTAAATTGCTTACTCTATCTTTTACACAGTATTCTAGAGACATTTGCCTTTTGTTAGTACCTTTTTGTATTGAAGTATCTTTGTCATTTTTGCTGTAAATATTTTCCCTGGTTACTATTTACTGTTTTTTAAAAGGCTTTTTTAAACACAAATTTTTTGGTACATGGTCAATCCTTTTTTTTTTTTTTTTTTTCTTTATGGTCTCAACACTTGGTTTCATGCTTAGGAAGGCATTCGTCTTGTATAGCATTATATAAACATTGACCTCCCTGGTCTTTTTTTGCTTTTATGTTGTACTGGGAGAAAGGATAGTTGGCTTTTGATTCATCTAAAGCTCTGGAGATGGGAAAGTTCTGCACCAGTGTAGGCAGCCACTCATCACCATGACTGTCAAGAACCAAAAATACTTGAATTAATTAGATGGAACAAGCCTAGAATTTTATTTCAGTGTAAGATAATTTATTTCCAAATCATCAGTCAGTATTCAAATACACTTACTGAAGAATCTATTCTGATCCCACTTTCTTGATTTTTACATATTGAGTTCTGTGCAAGTTATCCAAATGAACTTCTGGGCCTTTTGTTCAACTGGTCTATACATCTCTAGTCCCAGAAACCTCCATTCCTAAGTAGTCATTGACCAACTGTGCAAGATATATACAAAAGTGTTCATTTCAGCCCTGTTTAAAATGGGGAAAATTAAATATCTAGTAAGAGGGTATTGATTTGTCATAAATTAAAATTGTACTACTAGCCACATACACTCATATTGAATTAGAAAATGTGCCACAACATGTTATATTAGATTGGTTGGGAAGCAGGCAACTAAATTGTAAGTTTATTATCCAACTTTGTAAAATATTCTAATTATGTGCATTCATGAATGTCTTTCCATATCCGAATTTGGTTTCTAAAATCAGATGGTAAAGTGAGTTCAGATAGAGATACGTGTTATGTGAATTTATTTGGTTCTTGAGTTTTACATAATGAGTTGTGAGAATTTAGTTCATATGAGATACCAGTGGGGCTAGAGAGATGGCTCAGTGGTTAAGAGCTCTTGCAGAGGACCCATGTTTGGTTCCCAGCACCCACTTGGTGGCTAACAACCATCTGTAACTCTAGTTCCAGGGGATCTGATTCCTTCTTCTGTCCTTTGCAGGCGTTGTACAACATGGATACACTTACATATATGCAGGTATAACAGTCATACACATCCTAAAAAGTGTTTAAAGTTTTTAAAAAGTTAAAAAAGATATTGTCAATTTTATCCAAACCTGATTTCTTTCATTGTAATAGCAAAGGTGAAAGGATACCATGTTTGCTTAGGATAAGTGGAAGGTCAAATTTAATTATTACCACTAGTGGTGAGATTCAAGGCTTTAAATCCATTTTCTAGTGTTTGGACAATATGTATGTAATACTTTGAGCTATTTTAAAAAGAAACTTCTTTGTGAAATTTACAGCTGTTCCAGAAACCACATAACTATGCAAACTTTCATAATTTGAATTATTAAAATGAAAAATGTAATGGGTCAGTTGAATGAAATGTAGTTTTTTAAAGTGGAAACTGTTGCTAGATATGGTAGCAAACATCTACATCCCAGGACTTGAGGGGCTGAGTCAGGATAATTGCAAGTTCAAGTCCAACCCTGAGCTTCAAAGCAAGACCCTATTTTTTTCTGAGACAGGATCTCCCTGTTAGCCCAGCTGACCTGGAACTTGATATGTAGAGCATGTAGCTTAACTTTGCATTTTTAAAAATTTATTTTTTATTTTATGTGTATGAGTATATTGCCTGCATGTAAGTGCACCTGTCTCAGTCTCATGGAGATCTGCCTGCCTCTGCCTCATGAGTGCTGGGATTAAAGGCATGTCCCACCATGCCCTGCTCAGCAGCTCCCTTAAGAAAAAAAAAAAACTTAAAAAGAAATGTCATTGCTAACTGGAGACATGGTTTTGCTGGCACATATCAGGAGTTCGAAGTGGGTAGGAGAATCAATATTGAAGCAAGGTGTATGACACAATCCACATACAGGGCCAGTCATGGTAAAAGAATCTAGATAAGAGAATCCAAGGCTTCCAGGCCAGCAGGGCCAAACTGGCTTTTCTTTCAAGAACTTCTGACTTACAACCTAAAGATGATGGGAAGGCCACAGGAGAATAGTTTTCACATAATTCACTCTCCAGGTGTAACCTGTCAGCTCCTGCTACTCACAGTTTTGGTAGTGACAGGTGAACAGTCTTTAATGAAAAGTAAAGCCTCAAATCCCAGGACTTCCCACTCTCTGCCTTGGACTTAGGGTTGACAATTTGAAGAATGTAACTACAAGGTGGGATGATTTTTTTTCCATGTTGGGTATGAGTCTTATAGCAGATGTATGAGAAGTCCTGAGCCAAATTGGGCAGGTTTTAAGGTGTTCACTTTTTTTGAACAATTTGTCTCAAAGTCCAAGTCTATACCACTCACTTGACACATATCTTCCTCATGTTATGTTTTTGAATGTCTTTGTGTTTTTTTGTTCCCATACAAATGACATACACACTCTTTTAGACCAAATGGTGGCTCTCCAACAGTACTGAGCAACAGAAGCACTTAGAAGGCCATGAGCAGCAATTTGCTGGTCCTGATCCCAGAGTGTTTGTATGTCAGAGGTTGGGCCTGGACAATGGCCTTTCTGACAAATTTTCAGAAGGATCTGAGGACACACTTTGAGAAACAGCATAATAGTTAATTTTATCAAATAATATTTAACACAAGTAAAAGGAAAACACTTTATGTATGAAAGTAAAATATACTGAAATGTGAACATTGGACAGGTAGTAGAGAGATACTCAGAAGTGTAAGGTAGATGAAGGACAGGCAGTGAAAGGGACATGGTGATTAAGATGCCATTAATCATGTGTGGCTATGCATGCCTGTTATCCCAGCTCTTGGGAGGGTGAAGTAGGAGAATTGCTGTGGGTTACAGGCTAGCCTGGGCTATATGATTAGGCTCTCAAAAAAAAAATGTTCTTAATCATGTTTGTACCTCCCCAGTGAAGAGCAGTCTCGACTCGCAGCGAGAAAGTATGCTCGTGTGGTGCAGAAACTTGGGTTCCCTGCCAGATTCCTCGATTTTAAAATTCAGAACATGGTTGGAAGCTGCGATGTGAAATTTCCCATCAGGCTGGAGGGTTTGGTGCTGACCCATCGGCAGTTCAGTAGGTATGATGGTTATCAAGTTTAACTTTGCATTTTTAAAAATTTGTTATTTTATGTATATGAGTATATTGCCTGCATGTAAGTGCACCTGTGTTGTGCAATGCCCATGGAGGTCAGAAAAGGGTGTCAGATCTCCTGGAACTGGAGTTATGGATGTTTGTTAGCTGCCATGTAGGTGCTGGGATTCGAACCTGGGTCCCCTGCAAGAGCAATAAGTGCTCTTAATTACTGATCTCTAGCCCCTAACTTTGCATTTTTCAAAGATTATACAGCTATACAGTTCAGGCTGTTTATACAAGGTGACTTTCAGAGAAAGTGACTTACCAATAAACAAACTAGAAGGCATGGTAGATGAAAGGGTTAAAATGCTGTGAGTCCTCAAAGGTTACAGTATGGGCCCAGTCTTTTGAAATAGTGGTTCTCACATCTAAATTGCATGGTGAGCACTTGGACAATCTATTAAACACACATCCCCAGCTGGGTTTCTCCCAGAGACTTAACTTGCAAGATTGTAAAGCTTGCACCCCGTGTCAGTGCTACTGGCACGAAGCTCTATGTTGAGACTCTCTAATCAACAGACTTAAGAAATAGACCCAAGTGGCTTTGGGAATGGCAGTGGGGGAAGTGAAGGGCAAGGCTGGGTAAGCTAAGTAAGGAGGGGCTGACAGCTGGAGAGTAGAGAAAGGGTTGGAGAGGTGGCTGTGACACAGCCTATGAGTGTGGACCTATCTAGCCTTGTTTATGTTTTGTTGCGGAGAGATTTGTGTAGCTCTATTTTGTCTTTAATGTATTCCTATCCTGAGGAAGTATTCTAGCCTTCCTGGCTTCTTTCACCCTAACCGCTCATCTCCACAACTAGAGTACCTCCCTGTCCCTAGCTCAGACCCCAGGGAAGACAGCTGGGACTTAACAGATCAGCACCAAACCCCTCTACCCCTTTGGGATATGCACCTGGGCCAAAGTATCCAACCTAATATAGAATTACAGATGCTTTTAAATTCTCTTGATCACTTGTCTTTTTTTAAATTAAAAATGTTTAAAAATTATTTTTAGTGTAGTTTGCCTGCTTGTATACCATATGCATGTGGTGCCCTCCGGAGGCCAGAAGAGGGCATTGAATCCCTAGGAACTGGGGTTGCAGACAGCTGTTAGCTGCCATATGGGTGCTGGAAACCAAACCCAGGTCTTCTGCAAGAGCAGCCGATGCTCTTAACCACTGAGCCATATCTCTAGCTATTTAAGACTTTTCATTACAACATTTTACCTCATCTTTGTCAGGGAAAAGTTACTCTGTTCAAACAAGTGCATAAGGAAAATTGAAGAAGGCTTCATTAGCTCTCCTTTTAGACATGATCTCACCAGAAGTTTTAAAATGTCTAGTTTTTTTTTTTTTTTTTTTTTTTTTTTTTTTTTTTTTTTGTTTTTTTTTTTTTTTTTTTGTTTTTTTTTTTTTTTTTTTGTTTTTTTTTTTTTTTTTTTGTCTTTTTGAGACAGGGTCTTCCTGTAGCCCCACCTTTTTGAAAAAAAAACTGCCAGAGGGCCAGATGGGAATCAACTGCCTGGCTGTTAACCACTTGAAGTGGGCCCACCCCAGTGTCACATTCTTGTTTGCCAGTTTTATGAACTCACACATCTTTGTTTTGTTTGGCTAGAAGTGTGCTTTGTGTCCCAAGGCTGTCTATTTCTAGTCTTATTCTAGCCTCCCTTATATGCACTTTGTCAGGCCTTCATCCATAGAGTGTGGATTACAATTCCAGTTTGTGTTTTTGACATTGGGAACTTTTAAGAACACTTTTCTTAGCAGAAAAAAGGGCTTCTTTTTAATTGCCTGTATCTCGTAGGAAACATGGCACCCATCAGTTATGACTAGGTCAAGTTTGTTCTTGGTTAAAACTTCGAATTAAATTTTATTTTACGTATATGAGTGTATAGCCTGCATGTATACAAGTGCACCCATGTCATGCAGTGCTGGCAGAGGTCAGAAGAGGGTGCTGAATTCTCTGGAACTGGAGTTATAGGTGGTTGTTAGCTGCTATGTAGGTGCTGAAAACCCAAACTGGGTCCTCTGCAAGAACAGCCAGTGCTCTTAACCACTGAGCCATCTCTCCAGCCCTTGAATTAATTTTTAGTTTCCTACATTCTTCTAATTTATAGTTCAACGTCTAATACAGGTGTGTCCTGGTTTGGTTTGGTTTGGTTTGTGTTGTGTTGTGTTGTGTTGTGTTGTTTTGTGTTGTGTTGTTTTGTTTTGTTTTTTGTTGTTTTGTTACCAGATCTGGCTATGTAGCCCAGTCTGGTCTCAGATGTGTAGCTATCTTCCTGCCTCAGCTTCTGAGTACTGAGATTATAAACATGCCACGCCAGCTTTCCCTCCCTCCCTCCCTCTGCCATGAAACCCAGGGATTGAACTCAGGACTTCATGTGCCCTAGGTAAGTGCCCTGCCACTGAGCTACATCCCTACCCCACTTGTTACTTTCTCTTTCTGTGTCATATTTATCCTTATAGTTTTCTATGAGCATTTCCTCTTCAATTTCGACTCAAAAATACTGATGATAAATACTTGTTAAAAGAATAACATCCAGGTGATTACCATGTAGTGGATGCTGGGGTGATACTGGCAAGTTATGTAGCCATAGTCCCTTGCCCACATGGAGTTCACTGACTAAAGATAAACCTGCCAATGCCAGTCACGAAATGTAGTTCCGAAACAAAGGCCCTCTGGCTTGCTATGGAACTCTGAGTGCACTTTGTGTTACTGGGGGTGGGGAAAGGTCAAGGAGCGCTTCTGGGGCGTGAAACTTGAAAAGTGACTCAAGGTTGAGCTGGCCAAGAAATTGGCAGGTGTTTGATAGTCACAGTTCATATTAGATGGTCTCCGTTCTTAACCAGAAATGATCCCTTTTCTCTACTTGACCCTCTTAATTTACACTGATAATACATCTCTAATCAGGAGTTCATTATGCTTGTTACTAGAAAACTGTGGTTTTGACAGTGACCTCTATGCATTCAGACAGGCCACTTCAGGCTGACCATCTTTCCAGCACAAACAGCTGCTGATGGTTTTATTCATTGTAGAGCTGCATGGCGTTTGTCTATGTGGTCTGGATTCACCCTCTGTGCGCAAAGGTTCATGTACACCCTAGTTGCCATTTTTTTCAGAAGTTTTGTTCTCCTTCTGTTTGTTCTCCATGAGCCATTGTTTTTTGCTGTTTTTTGTTTGGTTGGTTGGTTTTGGTCTTTCTGAGACAGGGTCTCCCTGTAGCCCCAGCTAGCCTGGAACTTGCTATGTAGACCAGGCTGGCCTCGAACTCAGAGATTTGCCTGCCTTAGCCTCCCAAGTGCTGGGACTATAGGCATGTACCACCACACCCAGCTATGAGCATTGTTTTGAGAATAGTTTTATTTCCTTACTGTTTTACCCCCCAGCTTCTTTCGGGACGGGTTCTCAATCATTTCTAGGACCCTGTGGTCTCTGGGCTGGAAAGTGGAGAGAGCTCTTAAGCCCTATCACCCTTTGCTCCATGGAGACTCCAGCTTATATTTGCTAGTAAATATGAATTAATTACTATTTATAAAAACAAATTCTGAATTTTACATACTTGAGATAGTGTAGTCAGGTTTCTTTTTATAGCAGCTGTCCAAAGACAAATAGTTGTGGTTTATTTTGTAGATAAGTTACTAAATATTTTCAGTAAGTACAATGTACACAAAACGTGCTTATTAGGAACTTGGAAAGTTCAGAAAAACATGTTTTATGTACATGTTATGGCAAGCTTTAGTTGAAAGATGAAAAATATTGGGGCTGGAGAGATGGCTCAGTGGTTAAGAACATTAATTGTTCTTGCAGAAGACCCAGGTTCAAATCCCAGCACCCACATGGCAGCTAACAACTGTCTGTAACTCCAGTCCCAGGGGATCCAATAGCCTCTTCTGTCCTCTGCAGGCATTGTACGACATGGGTGCACTTACCTACATGCAGGCAATACATGCATACACATAAAATAAAAATAATAAATAAAAAGTTTTAAAAAATGAAAGATGGAAAAATTAGTAAGATCTTAATATATTAAATCCAATACCCCAAATTAATTTTTCTAATAACCTGGAATGACTTAAATGAAAAAATGTCATAATCAAAAGTTAATTTTGAAGTTGGGCAAGGTGCCACATGCTTGAAATCCCAGCACTCAGGAAGCTGAGGCAGGAAGGCCCACAAGTTCAATACCAGCCTGGGCTATACATAGCAAGTGCTAGACCAACCTTGGAAACATAAGGAGACCCTGTCTCAAGAAATAAGTAAAAATTCTTTTTGAGGCAGAGCCACACTATAGCCCAAAATAACCTTAAACTGTCAGTCGTCCTCGCAGCCTTCCAAGCTGCTGAGATTACAGGCATGAGCCACCATACCTGGCTCAACTGAAAATTGAATTTCTGAATGCTGTGTTTGCACTCAGGCTTAGGGGTGTAGTGGCAGAACACTTGCCTAGGGTGTGTGAGGGCCTGGGTTCAGTACTAGCATGAAAAAAATGTTTACACTCAAGACTCTTCTTTTGTTAAGATAGGTAAGCACTTTTTAGTGAAATAGCACTTGTTTGTAACTGCTGTGGCATGCACCTTCAATATACTGGATCTTGAATGTTTTGGAGAAGCAGATGAATAGTACTATTTTTAACTTTTCCTTTTTGTGACTTAACAGTTATGAACCTGAACTGTTTCCTGGCCTTATATATAGAATGGTAAAACCACGAATTGTGTTGCTTATCTTTGTATCTGGAAAAGTTGTGTTGACAGGTAAGGTCTAAGATTGTTATCTGACTTTCCTAAAATTCAGTAGCTGTTTGTGTGCGTTCTTTCCTTCTGAGCAGTTTTTCTACCATTTCAAGGTAATTCTTGCTATCCTGGGAAAATGGAAAATAGAAAAAAGAATATAATACCACCCATAGGTGATTCCTCAAACAATGAGATTTTTCATGTATTATACTATTTTTATGTACATTTTTATCTTGACATCCTGCCTTTTATTAACCATTGTAATGCATGCAGCTTAACTTGATGTTACAAACTTTTCAAGGGGGCTTTTAATAGCTGCATGGTATTGTAAGACAGGAATTGGCAAACATTTCTGTAAAGGGCCAAACTATTTAGGCTTTATGGCCTCCTGTGTCTCTGCTGGAACTGTTGAATTTTGACATCACAGTACAAAAGCAGCCATGACCATCACATAGAGGAAGGGGCTCCCAACTGTGAATGTTACACAATTTAGGTATATCACATAATGATAGTACTCTTTATTTCCCTTCAACCATTAAAAAATATATAATTCAACCAGGCATGGTGGCTCACACCTTTAATCCTAGCCCTTGGAAGGCAGAGGCAGGTGGATCTCTGAGGTCAAGGTCAGCCAGCTGGGGCTCCAGGAAGACCGTGTGTGTGTGTGTGTGTGTGTGTGTGTGTGTGTGTGTGTGTGTGTGTATGATTTTTGGCTCACAGGATACCAAAAATAGCACACTGGCTTCAGCCAGCAGACCTGTTTCCTGACTTCAGTTGTCACAGGTTACTGGATCAAACTTATCCTCCTTTGTCGGACACGTCTATGATCCTTCTTTGTGACTTATAAATGGCACAAACGTATGACTATTTTTACTTGTGGAGAATTATTACTGCAGATACTCAGAAATGGAACCTTCTTTTAAGGATATGACTGTTTTCAAGATTCGCAATAGAAATTGCCAAATTCCTTTAAGGCATCTACAATGCATTCTCCTATATCAAACATCCCTTCCAACAATGTATCTAAATATCTTTTACCAAACCTTTGGCAGCATTCAAAAAACATTACAGTGTTGGGAGGATGTAGTTCAGTTGGTAGAGGGCTTGCGTGCCAGGCACAAAGTCTGATCACAAAGTCTCCAGCAGCCCATGAAAACTGGGCACAGTGATATACCCTTGTAATCTCAGCACTTGGGAGGTAGAGCAGAAGGATCAGAAGTTCAAGGTCATCCTTGGCCTCATAGCAAGTTCAAGGCCAGCCTGGGCCACAAGAGACCCTGTCTCAAAACAATTAATTAATTAAAAATTGTGAGAAAAGAACCCATCAAAAACACAAACTTTTTTTCAGTCCTGTAAGTGAAAATGATCTCTCTGCTTAGCCTCACTGAAAATCAGAAATAGATAAAAACTGATCACTTTGCACATAGCCAATAAAGAGCACATATTTCATAAATAGCACATATGTAACTTACCCTTTTGTCCATTTTGTTTTTACTAGGGGTCCCCCACTCCCCACTCAGAATTTGTGAGTTCACTATATTTTTTTTTAATTTTTTAAAAACTTTAAAAATTTTTTTTATTTCATTTTACGCACGTAGATAAGTGCACCCATGTCATGCAATGCCTGCGGAGGTCAGAAGAGGCTGTCAGATCCCCTGGGATTGGAGTTACAGACAGTTGTTAGCTGCCATGTGGGTGCTGGGATTCAAACCCGGACCGGATCTTCTGCAAGAATAACCAGTGTTCTTAACTACTGAGCCATCTCTCCAGCTCCATGAGTTCACTATAATCTTAATCCTTGTCTATGTTTGTGCCTTTTTTCCAGTTGGCTTGTTTTTACCAATTTTTACATAAAGGTACTTTTTTTTTTATTCTGAAGAGAAATGGTTGAGACTTTTCTGTAACAGTCTATTGAAGTTTACTACTTAGGTCTAGTTTTGGTCAACCTTTTATACATCTTTATTTTGTCTTTTTGACACGGGGTCTCCCTGTAGCCCCCAGCTGTCCTGGAATTCACTATGTAGACCAGGCTGGCCTTGAACTCACAGAGATCCGCCTGCCTCTGCCTCCCGAGTGCTGGGATTAAAGGCACACGTCACCACACCCAGCTATGCATCTTTATCTTAAAAATATTTTTTTATTAATTTTTAAATTATGTGTATATGTGTGAGTTTGTGCACGTGAGTTCAGTGCTGGAGTTACAGGCTGCTGTGAGCCACCCAACATGCATGCTGGGAATTGAACTCAGGTCCTCTAGAAGAGCAGTATGTGCTCTTAACCACTAAGCCATCTCTCTAGCCCCTATATATCTTCTACTCCCTGCCCCCAAATTTCAATTTTATATGGCATGAGACAAATTCCTCTCCACATCTCACTCCCAAATAACCAGCCAACTTGCAGGACGTTTTCTTCCTCAATTTGTGATGACTTTTTTGGACTTACTTTTATATTCAGGACTGTTCTCAATTCTGCCTTTATGCCAGGATCATGTATTACATACAATTCCATTGCACTTAATCTCACGTAACTTTAATTCTTGCATTCTCTATAAATGCAAAGGCTACTTTCCCCTCACTGCTTCTTTTTAAAGTTTCTTAGCTCCTCTTCAATATCCTTCCAAATACTCTAAAATTTTCTATAATTTGACCCCATCTAAAAATATTAAGATTCTGTAGTCTGAATTAATCTAAGAAAAGCTGATAATTATCAGTTTACCCTCCAGCAACATGGAATCTCTATTAAAAGGTTACTCTTAACAACTCTTGGGTTAAGGTTTCCTTCTTTGCTTTAAGAAATAACTATGGTTTTTTTGTTTTGTTTTTGGTTTTTTGGTTTTTTTTTTTTTTTTTTTTTTTTTTTTTTTTTGGTCTTTTTGAGACAGGGTCTCCCTGTAGCTCCAGCTGTCCTGGAACTCACTATGTAGACCAGGCTGGCCTTGAACTCACAGAGATCCACCTGCCTCTGCTTCCCAAGTGCTGGGATTAAAGGTGTGGGCCACCACGCCTGGCAAGAAATAACTATGTTTTTAAAATGTTGAAAAGCTATTTGGAATTCAGGAACCTTTCGAATAAAGCAAAGCTACAATTTCTTCAGGCTCTTCTTAATCTATGGGGTAACTAAGACCCCATAAGGTCCTAGAAGAAGGGAGAAAAGCCTGCCAAGAAAATTGGATAATAGAGATTTTGGAGGCAAATATGGATGCCACCTAAGGAAAAAAGTTTTCAAGACATTTAAAAAATACCTTCATACAATTCTGTGTGCTGTTATAAATCAATTTTGGAGGGTGGGAGCTTTAGACAAGGCAGCTCATTATGTAGCTGAGGCTGGCTTGGAATGCTCTGTGTAGGCCAGGTTGGCCTTAAACCTGTGATCCAACTGTCTCAGCCTCAGTGTTCCAAGTGTTAGGTAAATCAGTCTTATTGAAAATAAAATTACAGCTGGGTGTAGTGCACCTGCCTTTAATCCCAGCACTTCAGTGGCAGAGGCAGACAGATCTCTGTGAGATTGAGGGCAGACTGGTCTACATAGTGAGTTCCAGGCCAACTAGGGCTACAGGGAGACCTTGTCTCAAAAAGACCTGCCCCCCGCCCCAAATGAAACACCCAACAACAAAAAACAAATTGCCAAGTACAGGCTAAGTTCCCATTATGAGTTTCTTTTTAAAATTAAAAAAAAAAATTTATGTGTATGAGTGTTTTGCCTGCATGTATGTAAGTGTACCTGTGTGTGCAATGCCCATGGAGGCCAGGGTGTCGGAGTCCCTAGGACTGAAGTTTTTAAATGGTTGTGATCCACCATGTGGGTGCTGGGAATCAAACCCAGGTCTTCTGGAGGAGCAGTCAGTGTTCTTAACCATGGAGCACCTCTCCAGCACCCATCATGAGCTTCTTTATTCACAATTCAGATCAGCTTTACCATGTATCCTCCAAAGTCATGTATACAGTATTAGAAGTTTCAAATCACAACAGTAAAGGAATGTTGTTCAAAGGAAATTAAGAAGACTATAAATACACTTGCTTTGAAATTTGCAGTGAGTGCATAAAACACACAAATTTCTTTATTCTCACAAAGATGTGAATCATCCTTTTGAGGAGGATGTGAAACATTTTTGTGTTTTAACTAAAATTTAAGTCCTATTACAAAGCAAAAGTCAATCCATGATTAACACTAAGTGATGAATGATAATTCATTGGGATTTTTATCTGTTTATGCTATATTGTCTCAAACTGCTTTGTTTAGAACTAAGGAACCTTACAGAGGTTCCTTGTTTAATCTTGAGTACCTAGGCTCATCTCTCCTGAAAAGGGATTGAAAACTCACAGGCCCAATTTGGTGCAAATAAACACCTGGAGAAAAGGACCAATGAGGTCTCTTTTCGGCCTTTCCTCTAGACAGAAGCTGGGGTGCTTGAGTAGGGTACCCAGTGGAGTCCTAGACACTCACATGTGGCCTTGGACACCTTGGACACTGGTGATCCTTAGACCTGTTTTGAAAGCGAAGTCCTAACAACCACAAATAACAAATTCACTTTGAATTTGTGGAAAATAACTGACCACCCCAGTCCTTTACTATGTAGGACCTCCAGAAACCTAATGTATGAAGTACACATGTGGCTACTTAAAACCATCCCAGCCAGGCATGGTGGCTCAAGCCTATAATCCTAGCATTCATGAGGCTGAGGCAGGCAGATTACCACGAAGCCAGTTATGGTATAGTGAGTTTCAGGCCAACCTACACTACAGAGTGAGACTGTCCCCCAAACACAGCCAGAAACGCTATTGTGTACATTTGTACAGTCCACCTATGTAAAATTGTTGTCCTCCTCCAAGAGGCCAAAGTTGCCATGTCCATGGCTACCTGAATGTTTTGACAGAAGCCCTACTAGCCTTCCTGTCACTGTCCCTGACTGCAGACAGCAATGTGACCTAAGCTGGCTTTACTGTTTTCCCAGGTTTCTGGTTGTTTTCTGTGGCTGATATGACATTTAGGATTCATGTGTTTCTCAAACCACAGTAAAAGGG